AAAATGAAACCAGAAAGGACTTAATATAGAGCCTAAGAACTATCGTGGCTTATCAAGAAAATAGAAATTTGTGAAGAACAAAATGGATTCCGGGAGAACCGATCCACTATTGATGCAATATTCATCGTAAGGCAAATCAAAACCTCTTTCGTTGACCTCTGTCAAGCTTTTTACGATATACAGCTTTGGGATATTGCACATATTCTAGAACATTTTGGTATACCGAAAAATATAATAGACCGAATTTGGAACCTAGATATGGGCAATAAAATACGTATTAAAGTAAATGGTACATTTTAGTGACGTGCCAATATCAAACGGAATACGACAGGGTGATAGGTTGAGTCCGACATTGTTTAGTAGCAATTATAACAGCAATGAAAAGCAAAGGAACTGGCTATAGCATTCTCATATTACAATTAACAAGCACTGTCGTATTTCTTTCTACGCTTTTTAACAATAATAGTAGCGATAATTTTTATTAAAATTTAACTTTGCAACTAAATAATACAGAAAAACAATAACAACAAAAACATTAGCTAACTGTTAAATTAGCTAAATCACTCAAAATTTTATAACAAAATTTTATTTTTTGACCTACATATACTGCTCAGTGCACATACTCGTATTTTGTAAAAAAAAATAGTTTTTTGTAGAACAAAAGTAAAAAAGAAGAAAGCAATTATAAAAAATCTTGAATTTTTGCAAACGTGAGTGTTGTAATACCCAAATTAAATAATACGCAGTTTATTATAATTAAAATTAAATAAAATAAAGAAGAGCTGATAATAATTTATAATAACTTTTTCTGCTTAATAAAAGTTGCCATATCATTTAAATTGTATTGTACTTAAAATTTAAAGTAATTAAAAGTTAAAAGCTAGACTAGAGTTAAAAAAAAGACTAAAGTTTAAAAAAGACTAAAGTTATTCCAGTGTTGTAAACTAAAGGTACTGGCTCTAGCTTTCTCACAAGAGTTGAGGGTACTTCGCAACAAAAAGAATAAGCTGTGGCGCAAATATCTCTCCACTAAAGACGACAGGGACTATGATAATTTCCGACTGTCGTGTGATCAATTTAAATTAGCAGCAAAAGAACGTTACGACCACTATACCTATACCAATAAAACTTCGAATAACTTAATACGTAATCCCAAAGTTTTTTGGAAGTTATCATAAGTCATAAGGGGAAAAGTGATAGTTATCCAACCTTCTTGAAATTCGGCGACAATACAAGTAATAATTTCTAAACTATTTCCGAATTTTTTCGTTACTTTTTCGCCAAATCTTACTCTTTTTCACCTTTCCAATTAGATGTTGACAACTTTCGGCACATTGATAACTATCCTAAAACTACCTTTACTAATTTTGTCACGAACTTTTTTGCGGTTGAAAAATACCTTTCCAATTTGGGTTCTAGTCCTTCTTCTGGATCAGATGGAGTTGCTGAGATTATTTTAAGCAGGTGCTGCTCTTCTCTGGCGCCCATCTTAACCGTAATTTTTTAAGTCTTATTCTTCGGGTATTTTTCCTTCCGTGTGGAATGAAGCTTTTATTAGGCCAGTCCATAAGAAAAACAATAAAAATGACGTGTCAAACTATCGTCCTATAGCTAAACTGTCGGCAATTCCTAAGGTTTTTGAGTTGATGGTATATGAAAACATTTATTTCCATTGTATACTATTCATTAGTGCGCGTCAGCATGACTTCTCGAAAAAGAAATTCACGGTGACTAGCCGAGTGGAAGCCTCGCCGGTTTTCTCAAATAATATGGAAAATGGGTATCAGACGGACGTAAATTACAAAATTACACAGTCATATATAGTTATATCTTTTTGGTAGGACTTACAGACTCCTCTTTTGTTCAGCAATTTCTTTCGTCAAACTTTGTTGTACCCCAGGGTAGTAACTTAGGTCCACTGCTGTTCATAATTTCAATCAATGATGTTGTTTCCATGTTAACGCACAGTGGGATATTAATAATATGCTGAAGATATAAAAAATTTTCAAAAACATAAGCTCTGCAAATGATGCGATGTATCTTCAAAATGATCTTAATCGTTTCTACGGGTTGTGTTCAAGTAATAACCTAAAAATCAATGTAAGTAAATGTATGCAAATGTGCTACTCTAGGCAAAGACGGCTTTAACAAGCACTTTTAACAAGCTTTTACTTTGAATGGTCAAGCTCTTACTCGAGTTTATTTAATAATGGACCTGGGTGTTCGCTTCAATAACAAGTTATTTTCTTTTTTTTTTTTTAATTTTATTCTCAGTAGAGCAATAATAGCTCGTATAAATATATGTTTTTACAATTTCAGAAATACAGTATATTAAATTTATGTAAATAAGATTAAGTTTAACTGTCAATATTCAAATGATAGAAAAATAATAATCATAGTAAATTGTAATATATAAATTATGTAGTAACAAATTCAAAATTTAAAAAAGAAAAAATATGCCTATAGTACATTTATAATTTCATCACATATTTCACAAATAGCTATGTACTCAGTCTTAATTCATTATATCATAAAAGCAACGAATAATCAAAAAGAATAATAATAGAAGAAAGCGCAAAAGAAAAAAAAAAATATATAAATTAAGAAATTATAATTCAATTTCTTGTAAAAAAATATTTTTCTGGACTGATGTCCATTTTATTGAGTTATAAAAACATAACCTTAATTACACAATATAAAAACATTACTGAACTTAATTACTATTTTTGAACATATTTATAGCAAATAATTTGATTATTAAGCAAAATATTACAACTATATAGTTAAGGCTAAATTATAAAGTTAAAACGGCTTGTTAGGCATTTACTGTGGGAATTATAAAAATAAAGTTTTGACAGGTAAATTGTTAAACAATATTCTCATGAAAATTATGCTGACCTAAGCGTCTGATGTTATGCGCGTGTATCATAGTGTCTTAACTTATGTATATATGTATATACTCGTGTATATAATATAAATTTTCAAAATTATCAGTATTTCTCTATTAACATATTCTTGCATTTTTGTTTAAACTGGTTTCTATTTAGCTGTTTTACATGAGCTGGTAGATCATTATATGCTTTAATTGCTCTTTTCATTATTGATTCTAAACCAGTGATGTCCAACAGGAATGGTTTCTTAGGCAGAAATTTTTTTTTACTGGTTCATGTGGGCACATTTAAAAAAAAAAGAAAAGTATTTAATTCAGTAACTTTATTTAATTTTATTCATAAAATCGAAATCATATTAACATTTAATGTGAAGCTTGTTTTTTTAAATTATCTGCTAATTTTTGAATATCAACTGGCAATTTTGTTGACGCACAACGCAGTTGATTCGTCATATTTTCATCGGTCAGCCTATTCCGACTCTTCGATTTGACTATTTTCAATTTCGAGAAAAAAGAATTGCAGCTGTAATGCACATTGCCAGTTGTTTCAGATTAGGAAATTTATCATCGTGAATATATTTTCTGTAAAATTCAAGTTTATCATTGGCTTCAAACATGTATTTCCGTTCCGTGTTTGATTGGAGATCTATTAATTCAATTTGAAAATTCGAAGGTGGTGATTGTACATCTACGTTAAATGGACTTGAGAATATATTGAAAATTTCTTCATACTTTTGCATATACGAGAATCTGTCTTTGAAAACTTTTAACAACTTTGTGACTTCGTTTTCATATTTTGCAAAATCTTTCTGTTCCCTATTAAAATGATTTAATAGTGGAAAATTAATGGCATTTTTTGACTTTAATTGACTTTCATAAAATTTGAGTTTTATTACGAATGATTTTATATCTTGATAGCAGTCTGTAATCATTTTATTTTTCACAAGGTCATTTAATTTTGTTGTTATATCTGTAAGAAAACATAAATCTAGAAGCCATTGTTCATCGTAGAATTCGGTAATATCATGGCCATTTTCTTTCAGAAAAATTCGAATTTCCTCTCTTAAGTTCCAAAATCTTTCTAAGCATTTTCCACGGCTCAACCACCGAATTTTAGCGTAAAAAAGTAGATCACTATATTCAAATTCCAGTTCACGGCGATACTCCTGAAATTGTCGATGCTTCAATGCATTATTCTTGATTGAGTTAATGGTCGTAACTACAACAGCCATTACATGTGACATATTCAGCACTTGTGCACATAAATTTTCAAAGTGAAGAAAGCAGTGGCAAATAAAAAGTTCAAAAGAATTAGTTTTTTGCAAGGTTTCTTTGTGGCCAAGAATCAAGTTGACTGCACCAACATTTTTTCCTATAAGCGATTCCTATAAGATTTTTCAAATCAATCTGATGAACTTGCATGCAATTTATAACAGCTTCTTTGATATCTCTTCCGGTTGTTGTATCTTTTAAACTCACAAGTTCGAGAAGTTCTTCTGTCACATTCATTTGTCTGTCAACACCTCTGATAAAAATAGCAAGCTGAGCAGTATCCTTAATATTTGTTGTTTCATCCAAAGCCAATGAAAAATATACAAAATTTTTAGAAACTAAGCATAGTGTTGCACAAATTTCTGTTGAAATATCATTAATTCTTCGTGCTACAGTTTGATGGGGAAGACTGATTTGAGTAAAAAGCTGGGCTTTCTGGACAGATTTCTTCAACTGCGGCAACTAGGCATTCTTTGATGTAGTCACCATCCGCGAATGGTTTCATTTTTTTCGCAATAATATAAGAGATTTTTATGCTGGCACTAACAATAGCATTTGATTGTACATGTTGCTTACGCAAAAAACTCTGTTGTGCTCCCAGATTGTCCTTAAGTAGTTTTAGTTTTGCTTTTCTTTCACCAACAGTAAGTTCTGCAATTTCACTATGTTTTTGTTCAAAATGTCTTTTCAAGTTATATGATTTCAAAGTTGAAATGGAGTCACGACAAATTAAACATATAATTTTGTCTTTTATTTGAATGACAAAGTATAATCCTTCCAACTCACTTTGGAACTTTCTGTTTTCATCTACAACTTTTCTTTTCATCTTTTCCGCCATGATGGGCCGCACGTTGGACATGGCTGTTCTAAACCATTCAAATTTTTAGTAATAGGAAACCGTAAGTGACTAGCATATCTAGTTGGGTGATCATGTATTTGATTACTACTTACAATAATTGAATTTGATTTAATAAGATTTACGTTCATGTTGTAAATTTGAAGCATTTCATTTTAATTTCATTTTATTTATTTCAATTACTTAAACTAATATTACAAAGGTATTCCATATAATATTTATATTGCATCCATCAACTGCATACTAGTATTGAATCTCATAAAAAATAAACTAGATAATAAAACAGTAATAACAAAAAAAAAAAAAAAAAAAATGTAATGCAATTCAAGTATGAAAAGTAAAAAGAAATTAGAAAAATTCCATTCTTGTGCCAAATTAGGCAAGTGTGAATGAAATCATACAATTAAAAACTTAAATAAAAATTAACTGTGATATACTTAAAAAAAAAACTAAATTTACTAATGTGGGGTTGAACAAAAAAAAAATCAAAATTAAATTTCTAATATATCATACAATAATACGAAAGTAAAATATAAAGGAAAAATCAAAAACAAAACATAATAAGATTAAGGGAAAGCTAAAATATTTAACAAAAATTAAAATAATTAACAAAAAATTAAAATAATTATGTTGCAAAGAAGTTAAAACTCTAAAAATTTAGCGAATGACTTGAAGTAAATTTTCGATTTGGAAGTGGTCAAATTCAAACAACCAATCTTTCAAACCTCGCAAAAACGTCGATAAGCACCTTTCAGATCTAAGCGAATCGGGTAAAATATTAAAAAGCCTGGGCGCAATAATTGAATAAAAATGGCTGTAATGCGTTGTACGCGACCTAGGCACAATAACACGGTTCATATTACTAATTCTAAGCCCATACCCCGCAACAGTCCGTTGATTTAGGTACCCAGACCTTTTGAAAAAAATCCTCAAGGTTTTATAAAAATATAGATGCCTAAGCGGAAAAATTTTAAGTGCACAAAACAAGGGGAAACTTGGTGTAAGACGATTTACCTTTAAAACGATTCTAATAAAGTGTTTCTGTGCCAAAAGTAAAGATCTTATTCTGCTAGCATAAGCACCACCCCAGCATGTAATACCATATTGAAGCCTAGAACCAAAAACACCATAGTAGAACATTTCCATTACTTTACAAGAACAATAAGAGCTCAACTGAAAGCCATACCTTATAACCTTATTTAAATCCTTCTTTAGATAGCAGCAATGTTCAGACCAATTCAATTTACTATCAAAATTAAGACCTAAATATTTGAAAGAAGAAACACATTCAATTGGAAAACAATTCATATCACAAGAACACAAATTATTAAAACATACCAAATTATCAATTGAAGTTGGAACCATTGGAAATTTTTTACAATCTGCGTTAAGTTCTTTTTGTCTTCAACTTTTAGAATGTTAAATTTACGGTGCAGTTCATTCGTAGGCGTTTTCCAATTTAACTCAAACAGGTTCCTTAATGCTTTGTTTTGTATTCTTTGCAGCATTTCAATATTTTTCGAGAAAGTATTACCCTATATACCTAACACGTATATTAATGTGCTATGAAAAATGCAATAGAATACAGCCCTCTTTTTGTCATACGGAACTCGTTTCCCCAGGTTTCTAAACATACCTGCAATTCTACTTGTTGACCATTTCAACTCTTTTGTATGTTCATTCCAGATCATCTCTTCATCTATAACAACTCTAAGATATTTATATTTGTTCACTTTTTCTATTTTGTATCCCCTATATCTAATTTCCAAAGTTTCAGATTTACTTTTTATCAACATGTATTTGGATTTTAACGGATTGACACTTAATTTATGTGAGCACATCCAGTGCTCAATTAACCCCAAATCCGAGCTGATTATGTTTTGTAGATCTGCTTAGCTTATTCCCTTATAGATTATAACTAGATCATTCATGAACCACTACAATCGTATCATATGCATATCAAGCTCAATGTTAGGTTTCATTAAACGCTGGTCATCATTTTTAATGTGCTTCGCAAGTATGGTCACCCTATTACGATATACATATTAATTGGATTGAGTCTATTCAAAAAAAATTTTTGAGGTTCGCACTGCGCCTTCTTCCTTGGTAAGACCCCATTATTCTTCCACCTTATGAACACAGGCTCAAATTAATTGACCTTCCCACACTGGATAAATCTCTCTCGACATTCTGAATAAAATTGTGATTAACTTTAACTCTAGGTCTCGTTCCTCTGATCTTTTCCTGATTCCTTTCCATAAGACCAATTATGGGAAACATGAACCTGTCAACAGAATGCAGCGTTTATGCAACAAATACAAACACAGACTCGACTTTACACTGAAGAAAGACACGATGAAAATGCTTCTATTTACTTATAGTTAAGTAAATTTTTTTTTTTTTTTTATTTTAACAAATTTTTGTTCTAATTTTTCACTGTTTATATTCATATTTAATGGAGTATTAATACTATTAAGTTTTATTTTGTATAATTTTTAAATTTTTAATTCGAAAATTTATTCTGTCTAAAAAGTATGTATACATATATGCATTCTTCAATTTAAATTATATAAAATAATTGAGCTAAACATAAATAAAACAATAAATATAGGATGGCTGATCTGTACTTCACTCATAAGCATAATATGTTATACAGATGACGCGAGGAAGATGATTTACAATGCTTTTTATATACCTTCGAGCAAACGGCAGCGGGTTCTAAGGGGTTCTGATGCGAACATATAGCCTAGCAGAACCAATTGCCAACCTCAGCCTTCTCGTGGCAGAACCCGTTTAAACGAATGAGGCAATTGCGACCGAGTATTGGCGGTATAACCATAGCAAACATAGCACGGGACTAAATACCCAGCTGCCTCATCACGGCCCTCCAAGGATGGGGGTTTGGCTTGGAGCTAACAACTCCATCCAGTAAAAACTAATTGTTATGAACCCGCAACAACTGCCTCGGATACCAGATCGGATTACTCGGCAACGACCCATGAATAGAATAAAGGACAATGATTTGAATGTTGGATATTGGAATATCTTGACGATGTTAAAGCCTGGTAAAATGACAGAAATTGCAAATGCATTGACAAAATATAAAATGAATATTGTAGCTCTTCAAGAAATAAGATATCGTCGGCTGAGTGCTATTTTGATCCATACGCCACAACTTCTGAATCGAGAAAATCGCGTTTGAAGTTTAGAAACTATTTTTTTCAAAACTGCGTGATGGGATTTCTTAAATTTGCGTCAGTAGGTTTATTATAGTTTTAAGAGTTTAACTATAAAGTTTTATCCAATTTCATCAAACGGATCGAGAGCTATAACAGGTTAAGTAAAAAAGGTCCAGTGCTATTTTGATCCATATCCACTTTTTTGACCTTAAATGTTCATTTTGTATGACGTGGATCAAAAAATTAGTGGATATAGATCAAAATAGCACAAATAAATAAAAGAATCATTGTTATCTATATCATACAAATTTACTGCTATGTGAACATTAAGAAAAATAAAATTCACGTTATGCTTTTTTTAAATGTTTTTTTTTTTTTAATTTTTTGAGATTTATATCTATATAATCTTACTAAATATTGTCAGATAAATAGATTCCACTATAATGATATATACTTTAAGTTTTTTTTTAACTTTAAAAACGGAATAAGATTTTTAAGATCTTTTTCTTTTTCCTTCGAAATAGTATGTTCACAAAGCATTATAACTGGATTCCTTAATAAATTCTTTGGAGTTGCTAAGGTTTTTCTCTTCGCAGGCTTATATAAACTACATATTTTATAATTAATCTCGGAAAATGATGATTTGTACCTGATTGACAATTTTTCGTCCACATTGTTCGTCCACACCTAATTTTTATTAAAAATGAATGAATTTTGAAATTAGTTTGGGAATCTGCAGTTTTATAATTTAGTAATATGCACCTGTTAAAATATATTAACGTTTATATAAAACTACCTGATTTCTGCATGTGCATAAGAATTTGGAATAATTTTTTTTTTAAAAAGTCAGCTAAATAGCTACCTGTTTTTTTATATTTAATATTCTTGCTAGTTTATTTTGTAATAGTTTAAAGTCAGTTTGCTTGTAGGATAAATTACCTTTCTTTTTCAACAGAAAAAGTCAGATATTTATAACTAATTACGAGTATTTATTGCTCATAAGGCGTTAAGAATTGAGAAAATTCAGGGAAACAAATCAAAGGCAATTTTATCTGTTTGAAATTTTATTGGTATAATTAATAATTAAATTTTTTGCACATTACTTTTACTTTTTAATTTGTTTGTGTCAAAATATGTACATACATAAAGATAATATAATATGTAATTTAACTAAATACTTTTCAGTTTCACTTTAACCAGGTATAAAAACATTTAACGGTTATAAAATGTACATAATTATATTTATTCAATACGAGATGCAAATAAGCATATCGTATGTAACTGTAATTAGTGAAAATTAATACACGTACAGAAATAAAAGTCATGGAAGATGTACACATAATATTGTGAATTTTTAAAAACATTAAATAAATGATTATATCAAATTTTTACACTCATTAATATTTTCAATCAATGATGAATATTGCAACATACAACTTTTTTTATGAATGTGTACCAAAATAGCACGGAAATAAAAAAAATTTCTGCGATCTACGTTCCATGCATATGTACGTGTACCATTATAGCACTCAAAAATTTTTTGAAAAATTTACATGAAAATTTGACCCATACGCCAACGATTTTGGATATGGATCAAAATGCATCCCAAATTGAATTTTAAGTGGAGGTGGATCAAAATGACATCTGCGTATTTATGAAACTAAATGAGTTAGCGAAAAACTGATTTCATAAAATGAAAGATCATCCCCGAAAACCTATGAAAGTGGTCTTAAGTCAAAAAACGTGAAAGTGGCGTATGGATCAAAATAGCACTCAGCCGACGATATAAAGATCAAAGTGTCA